GTGTGTGTGTGTGTGTGTGTGTGTGTGTGTGTGTGTGTGTGTGTGTGTGTGTGTGTGTGCCTTCCTGCCTGTTTCTGCCTGTTCCTCCTCCATTTGATTGAGTGTTGTCTGAGTATTCATGGATCTGCTCTTTTGACAGCAGAAGAGAAGATCATTCATCTGTCTCCCTGCACGTATGCATGGATCTGCTCTTTTGCCGGAACATCCACTCATCCGTTTGTCTGTGTGCATGCACACCTGTTTAATCATTCCTAGGTTTGCTCGCTATCGTCTTCACCCGAATACAACATACCCTCATGACTGCTGCGTCTGGACTTGAAGTTGGGCGAAGTACGGATATAATAGCCATACGTTTCTCTTGGGGGGACGGAGGAAGGTCGTAGTTTGCCGGCTTGCATGCACAATTGTTCGATCATTCCTAGGTGTTTTTGCTAGTCAGCATGCATTCTGAATCCAGTCTGTGTGTACTTTCTGCGTTATTTTGGCTGCAGAGTTCTCACGGACAACGCGCTCCACTTTTCCCTCGAAGCTGTGACAGAGAACAATACGTCTCCATCCATGCCCTCTTTGAGGGAGATTTATTTGGGTAATAATCGTTTTGGGGATGGCAATTTAACTGCAGAGACGTTCCGTCAGCAACTGCAGACATTGGTGAATCGGAGTCGTCTGGAGTGTCTACACTTGGAAAATAATAACTTACAGATGTTGGATTTCAACACAACCTTCTATGATTTTGAAAATCTGACTTATTTGTAAGTAAGGACCTCCGTTTCCAGGGGGGGGAGGGGGGGGGGGGACGTCGACTACTGGATTGTGCCAGCTGACGTGTCACGTCTTGTGTTGGCTGTTGACATGCTCATCGAATAAGGAAATAAGGAAATGTCTGCTTTTCTTCATCAGCTTTCTTTTTTTTAGCTGAATCTCCAGTTCAATGAAGCCTAAGTGGATGAAGCTGCCTTTCTGAAGAACTGGAGTATCTGTTTTTTGAACTTGCCAAATAATAACAAACTTTGGTTGCATGATATCAACACAACCAGTCCTTGAGGACACAAACAAATTGAAGCAATACAGAGAAAGAAGATTAGCATGGCCCCTGCGCAAGGATGACACGCATAAACTGTGACCTACCAGCGGGGCCGCTTGGGTCACCTTGGTTGCGCGGGTGGCCTGGCTGTGCAAGGACCAGGGAAGGTCCCAGCAAAAAAAAAAAGAAAAAAAAGGGAAAATTTCAAAAAACAACTATGTTTTGCAGAAAAATAAGGTGAACAACGTTTGCCTCAGGGTCACATTGAAATTCTGTCACAAATTTGAAATTAAAAGATCAAGCTAACGTCGAGGCCCTTTCTTACCATTTAGGTTCTATCTGACAGGCCATTACGGTGGACCTGAGAAGGAAGGGAGAAGAAGGGCAAGCTGACAGTCAATCCTCCACGATGTTGGAGTAATCAATGCTGGTCAGGGGTCCTTCAGCCAGATGGAAGGAAGCGTATGTGTGTTCATGTCACTTCATGATGCAACATTTTATTCTGACTTGCCGGTGGAATAGGAACCGGACTGATGCTCCCCAGAATGGAAATGGAGCCAGGTCCATAAGGACCTGTTTTTGTTAAAAAAAAAAAAAAATAAATAAATAAAAATTCTTTTTTATGTTTATGTTTTTTTTTTTTTTTTGGTCCTGGCCCGGCCGGGCAAGCGGTCCCGGCCCAGGCCACTCTGCTAGCTTAGCGCATGAATCCAGAAAAAACAAAAAGAAGGGACCTATTCAATGTCTCGGTGCTCCCGCTTAGATCCCATCTTGTTGTCTGTTGGCATGTCATCAAATCACGAAATGTCTGCTGTGCTGCAGCTCTTTCTTTTTTTTTTTCTTTTTTTTTTTTGTTAAAGAGAAAAGAAACACGAGGGTGGCTGGGTGCAATTTTCTGGTGGGGACTCTGGGGAGTAGCACATGCTGGTGCAAGGAATATGAGTGTGAACGATTTACAGAAAACCAAGTTGCGAAATCACACAGATGTCCAAGTAGTCGTGTACAAGCAGAGAGCACAATTGCAATACAATGAAGTAATGAGCCAATGTTAAAGCCCGCAGGCCACACCAACGCGGTATCCAAAGTTGCTCCTCTCTCGCCCAGCCTACTCTACTCGACTATCCTACCTACAGCTGTGTTCATGCAACAGACCCACTTTGACTCTCGAAGACCAATGTACGTGATGTCAACACCATAGCCGACCTCTCTTCATGCACCAGGTACGTATCTCGTCGCCCTCATCAGACCTTGAGAACCCACACACTCGCCTCATTCCTTAAAGACCACCAGATCGCCCCCTTTTACCCCCTAGCGCCCAGCAGCCCGGCTATGGCTGCCAGCGTACCGCTGCCCTGCAGCGCTCTGGCCGCAGCGCAGCATTCAGTGCAGCAGCGCAGCAGCGTTGCCGCATTGCCTACGCTGGCCAGAACGCCCGGCCTGGGTTGCCTCACTTCCTATATGGAAGTGGCAGCCTCCTGGATGTTGCGTGTGACCTGGCTGGAAGCCTCCAGTAGCTTCCGGTTGGGCCTCAGTTCCTGCGCCCAGGCCCGAGACTACAGTTGAGGGCCTGGGCCCTTTACAGTTGGGCACGGCCTGAGTCTCCGGATTTGGACGTTTGCTGCATTTGTGCAGGACCCCGGGGTAGGTGCGTCGACAGTGCTGCTTTTGGATAGGACGGTGGCCGCTTCATGATGTATCGGCCCTGCTTTGTGTGTATGTGCCCAGGCACAACTGCCAAGGCCTGGGCCAACTGTACGATGCAGCTTAGTGAGGCTCACGTGTCCGCTCAACCAACTGGCGTGCTGCAAGAGCCTGAATACCCACATATGAAAGTGTCGAATTTTGGCCTCTGATGAATATTCAGGCCTGCCTTCACTTAGGGCGGGCACTTGGCTTGCTGGGGGCCTCTGCCCAGATCATGTGATGTCTGATAGGGCCCCGTGAGGGCTCGTTCCTCCCACTGGGAACTTGTACCCACAGCCCCATGTGTTAGCAATCTTATCGATTTTCCCAATAGCAATGCCAATCCAATTAGATGGGTGCGGTGTATCACTGTGTCCACAATAAATCATCCTAGATGAAATGAAATGCCACAATTCTTTCAGGAAAAAAACTTCAAAAAAGAAAGAAAAAGTAATCAGATCTGGCTTTGTCTTTGCGGTCATTGTCGTTTTTGTCTTTGCCTTTGTGAAGCTCGTCTTTGATTTTGATTATCACATTATGCCGTTGATTCATGTGTTCCGGAGACACCAGCTGAAATATTCGAAGGAGCGCCAACAGTGCAAATCAGTCAGGACTTTGAACTAGTGTTCTGTCCCCTGCAACCGTACACTGTTCTAGGGTGCAGGCAAGAATAGTCTAAATCAGTCTTGATAGCACTATCTTCCCAATTTCCCAATTATTCGTGAAAGCAGCACACATCCTAGATCATAGGGAACAATCTAAGTCGGTGATGATTCGAGATTCTGTTCTGTCTCTCCCAGTGTACTGTTTTCCGGTGCATGTCTCGACTCTCTATGCCACAATCTTTCCTAATCATTCTTGAAATCTGCAAGGTTGTTAGAGCATTGGGAAATCTTGGATGTGACCTCGGACAGAATCAAGTAAAAGCTGTAATCTGAGCCCGAAGAGTCGTAGGGATTACGGCCTTTCCCCCAACGCAATGCACCCTCATTATGACTGAGAACGGAGTGATAGTTCGTGCACAGTCATTATTGGGGTGCATTGTTTTTAAGGGAAGACGATAGTTCAGCTCATATGGAAGCACGTTTGGCAGGTCCTGGTACTCAAAACATAATTCAAGAGGGTCTGTGTTGGTTCAAACGTGTACGGTCACACGGTACATTGTGAGGTCATTTCAGTCCTAGGATGGTACCGGATTACCAATGTGTTGTCGTTTCGGTCTGAGAATGGTACGCATGTTAGGTCATTTCGGTCCAAGAAGGGTACATGCGCAAGGTCATTTTGGTCGTACAATGGCACCAGTGTGAGGTCATTTCGGTCCTGGAATGGTACCAGTGTGAGGTCATTTCGGTCCTGGAATGGTACCAATGCGAGGTCATTGCGGTCCCGGAAAACTCATACCCACCAACCCTTGGCTGGAGACAACCTGTGGTATGCACCACAAGGGGTCTGTGAGGTCTGAAAAGCAACCCAGGCCCCCCCCAAAAAAAAAAAAAATCCCATCCCCAGCAAAAATGTGCTGGGGGGAACTGGAAGCCAACTGAGACGGACGACCGGCTGGTCCAACCGGGAGGCTCCCGGTCGGGGGAGGGGTCCCCAGACCAACTGGGGACCAACACTGAGTCAGATTCATTTCAGAAATTGCTTGTTTGAGTATGCGCTTGGTCTGGGATCACACACTGCACTGGATTTTCATCCATTCATTCGGTCGAGGCCCTGACCAGACGTCGAAGTCAGCGGAAAGTGCACCCATCCATACTGTGCAGCAAAGCCCCCCTCTGTTTTGCTTTGTTCTGAATTCAAGGAAAGTACCCTGTAGTTATTCAATAAAACTGCGATCAGCTTAAATGCAATCACATTTGATGAATTTCCATTGATACAGGGCATTGCAGCACTACTCGCCAAATGTGCAAAATGGAGAATGCATTGTTGTCTAGAACGTGGGAAGATGTATCTGCCATAGCTTTTATCTTTTCCACATTTCGTGAGTGGTGCGGCGAGGCTGACAGTAAACAGTGCTTGTCGACTTCTGCCTCCCTGCTACATTGCCACACCCCTGGTCACCCCTTTCTCCATGGAATTTGTCGACCCAAGAGGAGGCCTCGTAGTTGGGTCGGGGGAAAAGACTGGTTGGACCTGATGGCCCCAGGCAAAGAAACAAAAGAAAAATAGTGTAGCATGATTTATTAGTCCCATCTACATCTTTCACTCTTAGAATGCTCACAAAAAGGCAAAGCGAACAGCGCATCACTCATTGCAGAACTGTGCCTCCTCCGAGATTCAGTTGGGCCATTGTCAGAGTGTGTCTATCTCTTAAAGCACCAGTGACCTCAACCTGAGGCCATAAACACCGATACATCTGACCTGAAATTTTCACGAAGGGGCCCAGTACTGGGTTTTCGGACCACGGCTCCTATTCGGGAGCCGAAGTGTATGGGCCTGTTGGAGACACTGGCGATTCAAAGATATTTGCAGTAAATCTGGAACCCCAGCCTTCTTGCTGTTAGCTTGCATGATGGATATATGAAAGCGGAACATGAGAAGAGACAGGCACAAATGTTGAAATGTTTGTGACCGAAGTCAAATGGATGACAGAACTGCAGAGTGTTTGTTGTTTGCGGCATCTGAACTTCCTTCCAGGAATATCGCAGGGAATAACTTTACTGGAGAAGTTGATGCAGAGCGGTTCAAGGATACAAAAATCTGGTAAGGGCTCTCTCTCTCTCTCTCTCTCTCTCTCTCTCTCTCTCTCTCTCTCTCTCTCTCTCTCTCTCTCTCT